TGTTGGAAGTGGGGTTCCCATGCTGTGTTGTAAGTGGTATTCCTTTTGCCAGACAATGGATCACAACAGTGAAAATACAGTGGCATTCCAACTCACTTGCACTTTTCCCGGACACATCATCACCTAGCTTGGCATACATTTCAGCGTCCCTACGTCTGGATTCTTCGTTTTCCCGTCTCATGGACTTGGCATCCGACAGACCAGCAGTTGTTCCTGTTGGGTGTTTGTAAGGAGAAAGAAACTCGTGTACATGTACAGTACCTCACATATGTGCATAAACATATGCTTTGGTGATACGGGCGTTTCACAATAGCGTGCCTCCAAGAGTTTTGCAATGTGTCAGCCAATCACAATGCACGAAGATTTCCGTCGACCCAATGCGCATTTGGAAAAGGTCGCCAGATTGTGCACATACATGTGACTGGCCGACGCACAGCAAACTCTTGGATGCGTGCTATTGAGAATCGCCTGTATTCAGCCATCACCTCAAACAACGACCAATACATGTATGTGTGCATGTGGCCATTTCTCTCTACACGTACACGGACATTGTAAGGTGATGTTTATAATGTACATTACGTGTGGGTCCTTCACCCAAGATTCACTTCCATAATAGCTTTATGAAGCACACACCAGGTGAACAGTTACTTGGGCAAGGTGGGTACAGTTCACTATAGTACACAGTGAATGGGGGCAGTTCAGTGTTCGGTATCCACTATTTAAAAAACAATTTACCGTACTGACAAAAATTCTGTTTTAAATGTGACTGCGCTATCTCGTTTGCTCAGGCTGCAACAACATTTTTGTTTTGTATAGTTTTATTTTGTTTTTAGCTTTTTTAAGAAAGTTTTTAATATTTGCACAGCGTTTCTTTTTTTATCTTGAATCATTTATCATTTTATCCAAGGAGTGATTTCAGAAGGACCTTGAGGAGTTGTCCGTGACCCTTGACATGGTCAAAAATTAATGATAATAATAACCTGTCCTAAGCACGAGCATACCCAGACTGTATGTATATGTGCTGTAGGCATGGCTGTGGATCTTAACACAAAGAATACTGCACTGTACCGGTACATGAACTGCATGAAAGGAGCTGTTGATGAGTTCAGAACATGACAAAGTCAAGTTGGAATTTGATGCCAGACTGAGAGAGTAAAACGGGACTTGAGAACAAGGATTGCTTCATGCATTACAATAAAAACAATTAATGAATGGAAAGGTTAATTTTATGCAGTGAAAGACAGAATTTTTTTTCCTCTTGGGCTGTTTTCCAATACTCAACTTCGTCTCTGTCTTAGGCTTCGTGTAGGAAACCAATCCTCGATTGTGGGCCTGAAGCATTTAACTTAAATTGAAGTACTGTAATGTTTGGTTCTTTTGCAACTTACTTGATGTTTTGTGGCACTATCAGACTTACTATTGCCCTTATAACCTCAAAGTCAGGAAGTAAAAAAATAGGTGAAGCCTGAGACGGAGTCCAAGTCAAGTATTGGAAAACAGCCTTGGCTTCGTCTCGTGGGGAAGAAAAACCATTCCACTCATTTAAATATTCATTATTTGTACAATATTAACAAAACCTTAATCATTTCAAAAGGTGGCTCCCTCAACAATGCATGTACATGTACCGTACGTTATTGCCTAAACTGATTCTAATCCAGTACTTCGAAGTCGCTAACGAGTATCTTCACAGTAGGCAGATCTTTGAAAACCATCCCTGATATTATGGATATAACTTGTACCTGTCAATGTTTTCTCAGGCCGCATGTGCTCTCCTCTCCCAACTGAAATCCTGGGTCCAGGTAACTCCTTTCCCCTCCCTGGGGCAACTCGTCGCACAGGGGATATGTCAGAGTTCCGGTCCGATCTTTGCCTCTGCCGGGGAGGGGAGAGGTCTGAATCCGAATCATGTCGGGTGGTGCGATCGTCCTTTCTGCTCTGTCGTCTCCTTGGTGGGGACAGGTCAGAATCTGAATTGTGCCTGGTGGGTCTGGCAGATGATCTGTCACTCCTTGTGTCACCCCTTCTGTCCTGTCCTTTCCTTGGTGGTGACAAGTCAGAGTCTGAATCATGTCTTGCTGGTTTGCCAGAAGATATTTTACCCCCTTTCTCCTGTCTTTTCCTTGGTGGTGACAAATCGGAATCAGAATCATGTCTTGCTGGTCTACCAGGGGGTCTGTCACCCCTTCTGTCATGTCCTGCTCTTTGTGGAGACAGATCGGAATCAGAATTGTGCCTTGCTGGTTGGCTAGAAGGTCTGCCACCACTTCTGTCATGTCCTCCCCTTGTTGGTGACAGATCGGATTCAGAGTCATGCCTTACTGGTCTGCCAGAAGGTCTGCCACCCCTTCTGTCATGTCCTCCCCTTGATGGTGACAAATCAGAATCAGAATCATGCCTTACTGGTTTGCCAGAAGGTCTGTCCCCCCTTCTGTTATGTCCTCCCCTTGGTGGTGACAGATCGGAATCAGAATCATGCCTTACTGGTCTGCCAGAAGGTCTGCCACCCCTTCTGTCATGTCCTCCCCTTGGTGGTGACAAATCAGAATCAGAATCATGCTTTACTGGTTTGCCAGAAGGTCTGTCACCCCTTTGGTCACCATTTCTGTTCCGTCCTTGTCTTGGCGGGGACTGATCAGAGTCAGATCCATCCTGCCTAGCTTTGCTTCTGGACTGCCCCTTCAAATGACCCAGACCACCTCCCTCGTGAGCTCGTCTCACAGGCTTCGACTTGGAGGTTGAGCTCCTATCCGGAGATAAGTCCAAGTCAGATGTATCACGACGGGATCTGCCCCGCTTATTGGCATCTCTACTCTTCCTGGCCAGATCGTCGTCTCCCATCGTCTTCCACTTGCGGCTGGTGCGGTACTCCTCCAGAATGACCTGGTCCCTGGGGCGCTCATCGACGACGTCAGCCACGACAGGAGTCTCGTCTGCGATCAGAGGGTTGCTGATTTCATCCTGCTTCTCCGAGGCTGGCGCCAGTGTTCTGAAGTCTACATCATCGTCCACAATGGTGAAGGTGCTGAAAGCGAAACAAACAAAAGCAATTAACTTTTGCTGCAGACTGACATACGTGGATGTACGCATACAGTAGTTTCAGAGTTTCCCAGAGTCGAAGGGATATCAGATTTTCCATCATCTGGTTAGGAAAGTCTAAAAGTTCAGCAGTATTTTTCCATTCAGACACAGTTCCCCATCTGGACATCACTTGACACCCCGTGCACAAACCCTACATGTACATGTACCCTATGAAATTGTTTTTAAGTAAAAAGTGCTCCAACATTGTCACTGCTAACTCTCACTATCACTTTCTGATAGCTAACAAACTACACATACTACAAGGAAAAATTCATTGATGCCTTAAATGAAAGTCTTGTCTTCCATTCTGTTAGGCCATGAGAATAGAAGTTGTAGATCTGCATCCTAACAATTTCAAAAACATGAGGCATCCTTTCATTTTTCATTCAATTCATTATTTTATTTCAATCTCTAAGTGCAGACACCTCTCAAGTATAATACTGCCGGACTGTAACCAAAAGCCTTGCTGAGGGATGAGCTTCACGTAGGCCCGTCATCAGTTCATGGATCACATCCAATGGGGATCACAACAAAAAACACCCGCAGTAAAACGTACACTGTACATAAAACGTGCACACCATTCCAACGCACGTAGGTTGGCCATAGCTCAAGCAGACATCTGGATACAAAAGTGAGCTAAGGCTGCATCTGAATCTCTTGTCTAGAGCTAGGTCTAGGTATTCACTCCATTGGAAATGCGTGGATACACATAGACAATAGACCTAGCCGTAGCTCTGGAAGCCCGTTTTGGACACGGCCTAAGTATGATTGAAATGCATAAATATGGTGTTTATACAACTGCTAGAAGATTCAGAACTCTGATTTTGTGTCTTTTTCATACAAATTATGAACATTTTGTGGGGGAAGGCCTAAATAATTTTTGTTATTTGGGGGAGGGGCCATGGCATTGGAACATTCGGCTGGTGGATGCAAATCTACAATTCCCATGCTCATGGCCTTATGTCTGTAGGAATAGGGTTTCAAAATGCAAAAATCCCCACTGAATTTAGGCCTATGTCCAATTGCCACCATTTTTAGAATGGCGGAATATTTACAAAGTAGCCTAGGCCATGCCTATAACATTTCATGACACTGAAATTGTTCACAAAGGTTCAACAGCATATTTAAATAAGAAAGTAACAGTCAGAACAGCAGCCATTGGTAGCAGTATGTACATGTGTAAGCTAATGAATTTGGAGTTTAAAAAAAAACAGATTTGGCAAAATCGTATGAGATCAAGAAAGACCAGGGAAATGTTTAACATCTTGAAGTGCGCCAGTGCAGCCCAGCGTAGCCCAACATGTACATGTAGGGCTGTGGTGGCTCTCTTTTGAAATCTGTCTCTTTCTATGAGAGACAGATTTCAAAAGAAAGCTTCCACAGCCCTACGTATGGGGCTAGGCCCAGCCGGATATTTTGACTTCTGCTAGGGGGGTTCATTACGATTAGCACCCTGTTCCTAACTTCCTATTAAGGAAAACGAAGTCCACTTTTTCAAACTGACATTCAGACCTCAAGGATCCATTTCTTAAACCTAGTAGCCTAGCTTTAGTTTAGATAAATTGTGACAATAGTTAAACATGAAAACCAGAATCTTTTCCCAAGTTTGGTGAAAGATGACCACATCACGTCCTTTTATTTCACGTCTTGTTACCCGACCTAGCCATTGTGGATATACATGTACTGAATTTCGTTAAAGAAACTTTTATGGTTCCAGGTCTAGGCCTAAATCATGCACTGATTAGTCTTCAATCACAGACACAGCTCTTCATGCTAAAGCTCTCCCTTCTTCTCTTTCTGATATGAAAGAGGACATCACCGCCAACTTATTTAGGTACATTTGCTTCAAAAAGGTAGACTTTCCTTCCTTATAATTTACAGGAACTGGGCGCAATAATTAATGGCTTGCACGGTAAGGCGGTATATATCATCAGGTAGGCAGTCTATTTACACCAGAAAATTGTGATGGTACATTATGGAATTCTCGCCAAATTGCGAACTTAATTTACCGTGTCACTTTAACCGCAGTTTTCACTTTCTTCCGTCTTTTTTTCTTCTTCAAATCCTCTGGTTCAGCAGACAGATACCGCTTGAGGTACTCTCTCTGGTCTAAGGGCAGCGCCATCTTTGATTGAAGTTACAAGAGGGCGCTGTTTTACTTTGTACTGGGAATAGAGGCACGTAAGGGGGGGGCGGAAGACCGGCGAGGGTTCAGAACTATACTGTGCTGCCGGCCAACACATCTCAATTTCTTTGCAGTTTCGGAGTGGGGGAGTGTGTTTTCTGATCATTTTGATGGCCATAGCATTACTCTCACGGATCCAGATTTATGGAGATTTTTTTTTAGCTCCATGACGATTTGTTGGACGGACAACTTTTCCTTCTTTTGTCTCCAACTGGACATTTAATATAGCTCATTGTCACTGAATTTATCTTGCTTGTGTAATTTCCTAAACATTATGAAGGTTTGGGTCGACAGGTTCAGCCCAATCTTTGAACCTCCCTCTCAAATGCCAAGTTCAACAACAAATACTCTGAAGCTGCATTTCTTTATTTCTGACTTCCAAAACAACAGTGATGATTTTGGGCCGGATTACCGATCCCAGGTCAGAAGACAGACACGCCATCCAAGAAAAGTGTCTATTGGGATTTACACCTCTGCCCGCCAGGATATTTTGATGCATAAATATCTGTACTACTGCAATCTTATACTCTCAACAGTAAAAACTCCTTGCAGACAGGCAATATATTGGCAGTGCAGTGCCCCTCCCCCAGATTGCGTGGGCACCCGTTTTTAATCCTTAGCAAGTCCTGAGCAAGAAAAAAAACGATAAATATAAAATCATCTCAGAAAATGCAGGGATGATGCACTATCTCCTGAGGCCACCAACTGAAACATGCCCAGTATTTTCAGGTACGAGATAAAAAACTGCAGGAACATTCAGACCAAGCATAGTAAGACTACAAGGAAGCGCTGAAATCCGTTCACTTTTTAATTAATATGCGTAAACAATATATTGCATGATTATTTACAAAATCAATTGTGTATATCAAAACAAACAATTACACTGGCAGACCTAAAGGTTTGGGGTAGCACTGCGCAAGGATATCTCCCTTGCAAAATGTGTGGTTCTGAAAAGAACCGGAGAGTACCATTTGTTTCTTTTCAGAACTGTACAAAAGAAATATCCTCGCATGTATGGCTCTTTCCAGACCCACACATACAAGAGAGATATCCTAGCATGGTGCTACTGCAAACCTTTTACTTAATTTGCCATCTTCACAGTGAAAACCTTCAAAGCTCATCAAGGAGAGGAATACTTGTAGTGGGGGTTATGCCCCAGGCTATCCAAAAACGGGAAAATAAATGAGTAAAAGTTGACTCCCTTTCTTGATAGCTGCCCTCTCCCCAAAATCTCTCGCTCCTTTATCATAAGGAAAAATGTCCACTATGTACAGTAAAACTATGCAATTTGATTTGGTTGGCATTGTTAGTTTGGGCATTAAATTTTGTTAAGAAACAAAATTTACTGAAAAATTACAAACCAGCTTACGGGGGACAAAAATCGAAGAGAAAACACTCGCCGTTGACAAAGTTTGCCAATGTATGATAATTACATAATGATCAAAACTTCCTTGGTGAAATAAATTTTAAATGGCACATTTCCCTTCTTCTGCTAAGTATAAATATTTAATAAAGAAAATAATTCAGCCCAAAATCAATTGGTGACTGCAAAATGAACTAAAATCAAAAGCGACTATTCCGATTTCAAATTAACACATCACATTAGAAAGCACAGGGCAAGTTCGTTTAAGGACCAATGGTTACTTAGTGGTTGATTTGTGACGTACCCAAGGCATGTGCAGTGAAGTTGAAGTGCAAACGAAGTAGTCACCTGTTGTCAGGTCATTAGGCTGAAGGGGTGAAAAGGTGGCCGCAGGAAGGGCGAAACAGCAAAAACAAAAGTGCAAATGGTCATTTACGAGCCACGCACCGTTTTTCCTGCATTTTTCTTATAATTGGTCCTCTCTGCACTGTGCCATTAAAAACGGGTTATGGCAACCAATGGCGTGACCTATCTCAACAGGGTTGGTCCCAAATAGTTGACTAGACCGGTCCAACCATCACTGACTAGCCTACGTTCGATCAGTTTAGTCCAATTATGGTTAATTATGGTCCTTGATCAAACAGGCCCACACTGTTCAAAGTTTGTTGTTTGCTGGTATTGATGCAATTCCTGTTGACGGTGCTGTTATTGTTGCTCCTGAAAATCTAATTTACGGTTACCCTTTTCATCAGAGGCAAATTTTAATGGAGCCATGAGGCAGAAAATTGTGCTAGAATGCTTCTAAGCAGTACTGTAATTTGCCCTGATTACAACCATGTGATTATGCCCCTCTGTATTTAAACCCCTTTGCGCCCGGTTCATTTAAAAATGCCATGTACAAATGCGGGCAACAAGAAAACATTAGCACATCTAAAGCAAGGAATAAACTTGATAGCATTTTTTTTCAAGCACAGCTTTATGCACGAATACCAATTGCTAAGAGGAGGTTTAAAATTACCCTTCACAGAAACTTAAAGAAATAGTTAAGATGGAAACTAGACTCCAAGCTGACCTTGTCATGTGGGTATTGGTATAGCGCCCTCACTTGGTTACTAAATGTACATGTTATTCAATACCATCAATAACCAACCAACACACACATAATTCAAGATGGCGTGTCCACGAGCTTGTCCATGACAGACCTAACTTTGCATCTTGTGTAAATAAATGTTTCTGTCTCCCACCACTCCAAATGAAATGCTTGATTTCTGTTGGAACCAAGGAAAAGAAAAAAATATTTGGAAGAGAGATGGGCTATAAACCGCATGCAAAAAGAGTGTAAAAGATGCCTTTCTGTCCGCATCACACCAGCGGCCGGTAAGCTAAAGCTGGCTTTCAGTATGAAAGCAAAGCAATAATTTTAAAATTCAAAGGTAAAATTTAAGACCATCCAATCAACTATTGTTGGAATATCCGAGAGGCAAACTGTTGGCAACTTTGGGCAGTCGGTAGTAGCTGCAGAACCACAGCCGTGGAATATGCTTCATGCTGATGTGAGGGGTGCGGATTGTATGATGTCATTTAAAACTAAGCTCAAAACACATTTGTTTAGGTAAACTTTTCTTTAAAGGTATGTTTACAGTCGATTTGAGTTTGAGTTGTTTGTGCCTTGGGGGGGGCTTTTTTGTGCACATGTACGGTGATATTCAGTTGTATAGTTTTTTAAATTTTGTATGTCAGTTTTTAATCACTTATTAATTGTGAACAGTAATAATTGTTAACTGTGATTTTAGTTGGGCAATTTTATCTTTGTAATGCGCTTTTGAACACTTTTAATGGAAAGGGCGCAATATAAGTGCACTATTATAAAATTCATTGTTATGATATGACACGTGCAGTTATCAAACCACCAAATGGTAAATACCGCTACTCGATGAAAATATAACCCTCTTGAAAAGTAATGGAGTACTCGTACTTTGGAGGCCAAACCTGACACAAAGGCCGTGTCCAAAACAGGCTTCCAGAGCTAGGGCTACGGTAGGTCTATTGCCTGCAAGTCTATGCGCATCTCCAATGGAGGGAAGACCTAGACCTAGCTCTAGACAAGAAATACGGATGCAGCCTAAACTCTGGCCAATCACAATAGTAGGCAATTTCACAGAGGTCTGCAGATTAAATTAGTTCCAGCATTGCTGAATATATTGCATTTACACGTGGTTGGGAATGGACCTTTCTACTGAATAAATATTGACCATATTTAACGTAAACCAGTCTAAAAGGTTAACCCAGTCTAAAAGGTTAACCCAATCTGAAAAACAGTAATTACTGAAAACTAATCAAGGGCAATTGATCACGAATTCAACCAATCGCAGACTACCAGTATACAAATTGAATAGCTCAGACCAATTACAGATCAAAGATTCTTTCTTTGAAATGCTTTTCAAGTTCACGGTCACCATTTTCATCAGAGGCAAATGTTAATGGCACCGAGAGCCAGAAAATTGTGCTACCGTGCTTCTAAGCAGTACCGTAACTAGCCCTGATTTCAACCATGTGATTATGCCCCTCTGCATTTAACCACTTCGCTCCGGATTCAATTAAAATGGCCGTGTACAAGTACGGGTGTTTTCCCATGATTTTCCGTTTTCAAAATTCTTCAAAATATCATTGTTTCATTTACTGGACCTTTACACCCACACAAATGACTGTCTGGTGGCTACTCTAATCTGACATGCAACATCTGTTGACGCCCGTGTATTTCAGCCAGGCCTGCTGCCTTGTAAAGAGAGCCCAGATTGTGCGGTGTTGCGTAATTTTCTCTTGTTCTCGAAACTAGAACAGTTCGCTGCTGGCATCTTTTTCAATGGAGCCAGATTAGCGTGCAGTGGTACTGTGTTGCTCAGCACTGCTGCACTGGACAGCATTCATCCGTGGTTGTAATCCTTCGTATTGAGTGCTACAAAAAGTGGTATGGTGTTTCAAAAAAGGACGGATTACCTCCGCTATTGACAAATGAAAAAATGTTGTTCAAGTCCCAGCAGCTCAGTCTTTTGTTAAGCGGGCAGTCTTTTGTTACAAGACCCGGCTCCTCTGTCCGATTTCGGGCTCCCTGGCTATGCGTACAAACATAAGGTGCCCGTTACCGGGTCCCCTAGCGTGAAGTGGTCAATAGTGCTAGTGACATTCCGATGAACTGTGTAACTATTTAATCCCTTCGCGCCGGGAATTCTTTTGACCGTGACTGCTGGGCTGTGGTATGCCCTGAATGGAGGTCTTTGTCCAGCAGCAGGCCCCATTGAACCAGCAGCTGCATGGTGAATAGACTGTATGTGTGGTATGCACTAATCCTCACACAAAGCCGCGGCTGTCAACAGTTCCCGGTGCGAAGGGGTTAATCGTATCAGTGATTCCCTTACAAACCACAGACCACTGAACTTCCATCGAGTGGTCATGTGAGGCTGGACATACGTTTTTAAACCAATCACAAGGTATTGGTGTTGAAAGCCCTGTCAATCATGAGCCGATATAGGAATAGTTTTTATTCGACCAATCACCAATTAGTGGTGTGTTTATCGACTAATCACAGTGTCAGAGGTGGACAGTGGCGGCCGATGACCACAGACCACCTGCTAACCCTTCCACCAATCAGGGCGTGAAGTTACACCACACACACCAATCACAACTGGGTGTCTCAGTCCTTGCCCAATTACCAATCGTTGCCGGCGATTCAGCCACCAGCGACGGACGTCACATGATGCTACACTGGTCACCCTCCGGCATCCCTGGTATCTTGGGAATCCCTTGCCTGTCAAACTGTAGGCCAGGCCCGGTACCCTGCAGAGACAAACAGTTTACGGCATGAAAGTGTCTCAGACACACTAGCAAGAGAGTAACAATGGACACATTCTCTGAGGGAAAACTCGATGGGTGCACACATTTTTTTCAAGGGGGGGCACTGGAAGCAGATTATATATATGTATTGTATATTTTGTGTATATTTCAAAATTTTAAATGGTGGAAGGGGCACACACCCCCCGCCCTCACCCGTAATTACACCCCTGCACACTAATGCCCTCTTTCCTCCAATAAAATACAAAAAGAACTCCCCTTATTGAAACTTTATGTTCAACGCTGACCAAAGAGTATCATCATTCTGAAAAAAATTCCATTCTGGACTTTATTTTTGAAAGCCAGCATTTGTCATTCCAACTTCCCATAACATCAATGAATAAGCCATTTGCGAGTTAAATTTGAATAAAATCTGGTACACTGAGTTATTTGATTGCACACAAACGTAACTATTTTAATTCCCCACACTAAAGACACTGTTGCTTACCTTGTGATTTGGGGCAAGCTTTGCATAGCGATAACCATTTCTGGAATGGACTGGTTCCTTTGTGCCCTTCTTATCCATTGGGAATAGTGCATTGGCGCAAGGCGTCTCTTACGTAACTAAGTAAAAGCTTGCCCCGAATCACGAGGTATAGCAACAGTGGTTTTAGTCGGGAGAATCCAAATTGTTATGTTCCCCTGAATTTAAAGAACTCAGAGTGCCAGATTTTATACAAAGGTCACTGGCAAATGGCCTATTCCCACAACTGGTACTTTGAAATATGATCAGCAGTGTCCTTTCTTTCTTCCTTTCAGAAAACTTTTTCTCCCTCTCCTGTCCGAAGGAATCAAACCCAAAGATGCCACAATTCCCTGTCTTTAACTATAGCTAAATCCTGCAGAGAAACTTCCGGTACTGACTTTTACACCTTGGCATTCAGTGCGCCTTATGCAGGACAAAAAACTGCAGGTTTGTTTGCAAGGGGCAAGGTCGCATCCATAGCAACTGGCTGTGGCTAACTGTAATAAACACATCTATGGGAAGCGGCTGCAGCCACTACCATACTCGCATGTATTCCTGTCAGCCACAGCAGTAACTTTTGGATACAGCCTTGCTATGCATGACCCAACCAACAACAAAGGGTATTACCGCCTATGATCAATCAATCTGGAATGCCTGTGGATTAAATGTGTGTATTGAGAGCCATGGCTACACATAAACACCTGTGGAAGCCGTTTGCATGCCGCTGTATTGGCTTCCCACTGGCCCCCTGTATCATGGCTAGCCACAGCCACGACTTCCAGACGTAGCCTTATAATCAGTTCGTCAACAATGAATGCTTACAGCTGACATAGCAAACACATCTTTGGGAAGCGGCTACAGCCATCAGCCACTGGCCGTCATAGAAGTCCAGTCTTTCACTGGTCATTTGCGCATTGTGTTTCTTTGAAGCAACAGAATGAGTCAAAATCTCAACATGGGTGCCTGAGAACAAACCTAATGAAGTTGCAGCTCAGTAGATACTGTATATGCCGAAGGAAAACATTTCCAGCTTTTGATACCAGATCAAAAAGCTGCTTACTGGTGCTGTTGGTGTTGAAATGACAAACTGAAAAACTCAAAGGCTTGGCGTGTGAAAAGAGTGCTCTTTCAGGGTCAAAATGAATGTTGAGTTTGTTTGAAAAGAAAAATAAATCCAGTTATAGCCTCCAAAAAGGGTTGCCAAATACATTCAGGGCAAATAGAATGCTGTACATGTATATAATAGGTGAGTGAAAAGTATTCAATGCGAGGACCCCCTCCAGGCTTACATTTGGTTTCATTACTGCACAAGTGACGGATGAAGTTGAATTCGCCAGACTAGCTAAGCTTTAAGAGGACGCAAAAGGCAAACTGTACACCGACCATGCCGACAATATTGAACAGACTGAGAGTTGAACTACAATAAGGATTACTAACCCCTTCCCCGATGATATCCGTGGGTGGCTGCCCAAGTCCTTCCATCTGAAACACAAAATTAAAAAAAACACCTTGATTTGAATGTTCTTGAAGTTAGCAGTAACCAGAACGCTTGTTCCAGAGGTCATACTCGAAGACCCTGGGACAGGTTCATTCTTCTTTTTAATGACATTACTGAGAAAGGGACCTTATTTCTGTGGAAGCCACTTTGGATCTTGTTCACCGTATTTGTTCTATACATTGCTAACTGTTGAATAGAAAGGTGTCAGACTATTGTAGAATTCATGTGGGCTCTAAGCAACCCTTCCAAGTTTCCAAAATCTGGTAACATAACACTGTTTTATCACACATATGAAATCATTTAATAGGGTAGGCGTACTACTTTGACAGGAAGTTCCTTGTTATCCTTTGATTAATGCTCTCAAGTTCCAACTGTGAACATTTCACCACACTTTCAATATTAATATGGCTGGTCATCAGTTCCGATCAGGCTGAACTCAGAAGTCAGGATTTATTGCGGTTTCAGAGAGTCCAAATGAAACCTTGAGCTAAACAGAAAAGTTGCTTTCAGGTGATTGGAGATACAGGGACACTCGCAGACTCGTGCATAAATTCCTTTTCTTTAGACAGGAATGAAGACTCACTTTGAGTTTAACTGAGTTTCACATAATCTCAGTTTGACTTAATGACAAATTATTGGAATTACATGTAGCATGGCCCTAAAATGGCTTACCTCTTGGATGAGGTCCATTATTCTCGTCATCCTCTGCTGTTTGACGTCTGGGGACTCTGTCGCCGTCTCTGACTCATATTCTGAGCACAGCCTCTTCATGAGTTCAAACTGCTGGCTGTACCGTTGAAAGTCCTCTGGCTTGACGGTGGATTGGTTTTGGTCAAGCCACGCAGGATACTGCGGGGAGAAAGCACAGCATGCCCGTGACTGACCAACCCGGCTGCAGCTATGGACAGCATGTGAGACCATAAGTTTGCCAGCTAGTGGCTGAAACCATTTCCCATAGGAGAGTGTGGAACAGGCCTGATTTACGAGGAGGCCATTTTTATGGCCAGCTAGTGGCTGAAACCATTTCCCATAGGAGAGTGTGGAACAGGCCTGATTTACGAGGCCATTTTTATGGCCAGCTAGTGGCTGAAACCATTTCCCATAGGAGAGTGTGGAACAGGCCTGATTTACGAGGAGGCCATTTTTATGGCCAGCTTGTGGCTGAAACCATTTCCCATAGGAGAGTGTGGAACAGGTCTGACTTACGAGGCCATTTTTATGGCCAGCTAGTGGCTGAAACCATTTCCCATAGGAGAGTGTGGAACAGGCCTGATTTACGAGGAGGCCATTTTTATGGCCAGCTTGTGGCTGAAACCATTTCCCATAGGAGAGTGTGGAACAGGTCTGACTTACGAGGAGGCCATTTTTCTATCTTGTTCCCCGAATGGGAGACAATGTGACATCAGCTGACAAAACTACGAAACAAAATGGCATCCGAAACTCCAACCTTTAACATGAAAAGCATTTTAGGGTGGTTGATAATATTTCTTGAGGCTAACCTGCCACTCAGAGTCGATGTATTCTGTATTTGTTGACAAAAAAGGTCACACGGAGGAAACGGGTCAAACGCACGGTACTTAAGCCAGAGGGATATTGTTGTACAGTCATCCTGCAAGCAGGCGTGTTTATGTATGTGAACCAGCTCTAAGTCCAACATGATCCAACTCTCCCAACCACATTGTACATCTACATTCATGTTTGAGTTGGCCACGATAAGGCGTTTCTTTATGATCGCTTATCATTGTGGACTGTTTGGCGATGTTGTCTGCATCTTAATTAAAACCCTCTCATTCAAATGTCCATGCAGGAATGAGTTGTCCCATCCGTCAAATGACATCTGATATGTCCATGTGCTGTAGAGGGAACAGCGGAAGGAATGCCTGACTTTTTAAACAATCTTTTACAGTAGAAGGGTTGGAAACTCGGGTTTAATTTCTGTAAGGTTTCATGTCAGAGCCTTTACAGATGTGGTCAAAGTTTACAAACACTTGGGCTCTAAGTGCTTGCATGTAATTACAAGTTTGAAGACGTGATCGACATTTATTCTGGTAACCATTCAGCTGATCAATACCAAGATGTACTGCACAGGTTCGTGTACATGTAACTAAAGTGAATACATGTACATGTGAATACATGCATTATTTTGTGGCTGACCAGCCACAGAGAAAGAATAGCTACGAAGAAATGGACAGGTCTTAAGAACTCTAATCTTTAAGCAAATTTTGATTCTCTATTCGGATTGGTCGATCCATGGCAACAGACAGTGTGATTATATAACTGTATTGTGTGGTTCGTATCAAACCTTGCATAGATGTAATGCGCTCTTCTGTTAACTTTGCACACTGCGCTATTTTTTACACTGAAAGCAAAATGCATGGCTGCCATATGTTCAGTAAATCCAAAGGTGGCATGTTTGCTTGCACATCTTCACACAAGGTTGCTAGAAGATAAATTTAATATCACGCTCCAACTCATGTGATAACTAATACACTTTTCAGTCCAAGCGCATGTCAGGTTTTGCCCATCACCGCTCCGTCCTGCTCACCTTTTCCACAACCTCTTTGAGGGACGGATAGAGGATCTCCTTGGAGAGGAGGCTTTGCATCATCTGCTGCATCATGGGCATCATCTCGCTCTCCGCCCCGTCTCCAAGATGCATGTTCTCCATCTGCTTGAGGATTTCCGCCTCCGGGATGTTGCCGTCCTAGTCAGAAAAATCCGGCAGCAAGGTTTCAGGTTAAGTCGGCTTTGGTTCAGGCTTGAATACTGATTCTTCAAATACCAATATGTGATCATCAACTGAATAATCGAATAGCTCTTTAGCAGTTGGAACCAATGTTGTATTTGAGTCCATCATAAGTCCCTTCACGAGTCCTGTCACTAGTCCCTTCACAGGGCCAGTCATATAGAGCTGAGTCAATTCAAATAATTCACTATTCGAATATGCGACCTTCAATTTGATTGAACATTCCAATATTCAGTTCTACCAACCGGCAGATTGATGATGAACAAACCATTTACAAAATCAGTTGCAATAACGCACACATTTGTACATTATGATCAATATAATAGCTTCTCACATCTAGGAGTAGCTCCAGCCACAATTTAGCAGGATTTAGGAGAACAAGAAGACTTACAGCCCTGTCGAAAATTTGTGTTCCTTTTAAATTGTGTAATAAATAATTTACTTTTAAAATCGTTGTAGGATTTCTGACGCATTTCATTTGAATCTGCTTGAAACAAGCCTCCATAGTGCAATGTTTCTCACTTAAAACAAAAGAAAATTTTCCTTTACTTTTTGTGAATTTTGCATTCGAATATTCAAATTCGAAAAATAATATTTGAATATTTGACAATTGATCGAATATATGTTTATTTGGCACAGCCCTACAGTCATAACTTACAGGAGAACAATGACAAAAGAATGCTTCTGTCAGAGCTCATTTGAATAGTTTGTAAATTGGCTTCAGAATGAAGGACTTGCAGGGACTTATGATGGACTTGAATACAACACTGCTTGGAAGACTGCTATATGAATATTTTTTACATGTAGTGTGTTCATGATGTAAATGGACAGCGCCACCACTTGACAGAGTTCTCCAACCTACATGTAAGTAGCCTGGCAGCCCATCAAGATTTTTTTGTCTCCCACCATGACTAAGAAGTACATCTGGCCACCAAGCTTTTAAACAAGGCTCCAAGGTTTAAAAATCTTGGTGTAACAGTTGCATTCCAGACTGATTTTGTCTTCCAAATAATTATCTTGAAAGACGGCTCTCCATGAATGTCTGAAATTGCTTTCAACATTTAAACAGAAAAAAAAACTTGCCTCTACCATGCCGAGAAGTGCACTACATGTACTCCAAGGGGGGGGGAAGGGAATTGGGGTTGAGGTGGGTCATAAACAATCCCTGTGCTACATGTACAAGTACCGTATGTCTTTCCCTTTAAACATTTTAATCATTCACAGCAGGTTGAAAATTTAGAACTGAGTTATTCTGTAAATTTGGCGTCTATTTTTTTCCTGTTCCTGTTACGTCTGGCATTTAATTTTTAAAGTTTAGAACTCACTGTTTGATTTCAAAGACTGAACAAATACTGCAAATTACCAGCCAAACCAATAAAAATAGTTTAAAATCAATTTCAGTGATACATCCCTTGTCAAGCATGTCAGATGGTATACATGTCAGAGGTAACAGGGATGGCAAAATGTCACACTTTGGACCCCAAACATGTAGAACGGAGCAACTTGGAGAACACTGATTTGTTATTTCCTTAGCCCGGTACACATAGCTACAGTTTAAAGTCACAACTACTGGGAAGACGTGATTGATTGCCAGTTGTGCAGTCTAAGCGGATCAAAAAATCATCTTTTTTTTCTCTGCGCCAGTTACAATGTAATAATGGTCACTGAATGAAGAAATTTGACCGCTGAAAAGTCATGAAGGATGAAAGCACTGCTACTTTATGGTGAAGACAATTTCTCAACAATTTCCTGCGTCGATAGCCGGCTAGTGAAAATGTCACTGATATCGAAATGGCAGGCATCCACTAGTAACAATCAGTAGTTGTCAATAGCTTTTCCAACACCAATCGTAATTTTTCACAAGTGCTGTTGTATATGTGTACAACTTGCGCTGAATGCAGCACGAGGAGTCAGAATTGTTTCAATTTCTGCAAAAATCTCTCAGCCAAGAAATGAAACCCTCGGAGTATATTCGCTCTTTGCACACTGCCACCATAGGCATGCAGAGCCTCAATCTGGCAGCTTTCCACAATAAATATAGCCGGTTCATTGATTCCTGTGTATGTTGCCTGCGTAGTTTTGCGCGTGCTGTGTTAGTCCTTATACCATGCAATTTGACAAAGCGATTCTGATGCTATTGTACAAGCTGCCACTTCGAGGCTCTGTCTACAATGTATGGGGGCAGCGTGCCAAGAGTGAATCATACATGTATATCTCAACCCAATTTTGGTCAGATTTTCCAAATCGAGGAACACGAGTACCTTCAGGTCTTGAGCACTCTGTACCAATCGGTTGATGGTGTCGCCTAACGTTCTGTCGAGGGTTTCTTTTCCTGATGAGGCAGCGCCCTCTGTTGACGTCGTGGAGCCAAAGCCTGGAAAGGCTGTGAAAGAGATATGAACAGAGTCAACAATGCTGAATTTCGTTCTGCGTCACTGTCAATCAGATCTGTCTACTGAACTGTACAGAGAAAGAGAGGTTACCACCAATCTGTTAGGTCTTAACTACATGGATTCAATTGAACACATTCTTATTACAGAATTTCATCTTGGAATACAAACTCACTCTGGAAACTAGCACAGAATCCTGCGTTTTTCTATGTTTATAAATAGCTCCATTGAGGCTTCACATGGATGAACATGTATGTACAATGTGCATAAAAGCAAGGTGTCCAAACACATTGCCCGTGCTCCCACCAAGTCCCATTCCCCGCCCACAATCTAGGGGTCTTGCACCCCACATCCCACCTACCCTCCGCACCGCCACTCTGCAGGAGTTTGGCCAACAGATCGTCATTCATGCCGGGGTCCTGGCCGAAGTCCTTGCCCAGCTCTGACATGACGCTGGTCATGACTGACTCAAAGTCCGCGGCTCCTTCCCCGCCCGTGAAGAGCTGATTGAACAAGGCCTCCTGGTCCGGTGGGAGGGGCGGAGCCTGACAACACAAAGGGGCGGGAGACCGTTCAATTCAAGTCTCGCAAGACTGCTTTCCAGAGACTTTGACCCCAAAAATCCTCTACTGAATGGGTCTAATAAGCTTAGGATTCTCTTTGCCAAGAGAAACCAGCTTCAGATCAAGAGGTCAAAAAATGGGTATCATACAGTGGAAATTATAACAAGGTCCATGGAACTTTACAAACTATCAGACATGTACATGTACATGTATGTTAGTCATTATCAGTTGATCAGCATGATCATGCGATTGCATTGCACTATCATTAGATCCTATGAAATCTCCATCTTTACGTCCAATCGTTTGTTTTAATGATCATCCAAAACCGTGAATTAGATAGAAAATGCAAAATGCAAGATCATGCAAATTTACCAATCGCAGCCAACACTTACACATATTTTTTTCCAGGTTTTATGCACAGGCAGGCTTCAAAATGCACAATGATTGTTTTTGTGGAGCCAAAGTGACTTAGAGAGTCTGCTCTAATGTACTGAACGGAAGGAATCCTGTACAGGTACCAGTAATGGATAAACCGAGTTCCGATTTTGTCCGATTTCAAATATCCTACTGTACATCAATACCTCCTTTGGTGCATCTTGCTTTTCACTACTTGAGTCGGCCTTTCTTTCTGGCTTCTTTTCAGGAGCATTCTGGTCAGGAGGCAGTGAAGTTGGTCTCTGAAAATCTTTCAGTGCACCTGATGGAAAGAGATTAATTACTAGACGATATATTTGAAGTCAGTCAAAGCCTCTTGCACAAACTCTAGAAGGGTTTCATCATGTTGATAGCTCATCTCCAGTGATGTTACACATGCAAGTAGATCTGAATTCAATCTTGTGAATACGACGTACAATAACCTAGCTTCGTATTAGGGCCCACTTACACGGCTACCTCTGTATCCATGGAGACTACAAATAAAAATTTAATATTTCCAAAACTTGAAATGTCACAAAATAAAAATTTTGTTTTTACAATGAGGCTATTCATTGAGGTCATTGTCATGCACCCCACACTCCCACAGGATCACAGCGTAACAACGTATCCACAGTTCTGGGGGGGGGTTAGAGTTGACCAGCATCAATAGCAATCAGCATTACACAAGTCAAACAATAAAACCGTGAACAAAATTAAGCCAGAGTAAGCAGATGAAACTGATGCAATGTACAGTTACATGATGTCAGGGCACAAGACACTTGTTGCATCGTCAAGCTAGCTGTTTACATACGTTTAAAATGTTTGAGAAATACATGTGTGTACTTCAGGGAGTGATAATATTTTGCAAATATTTGGTTGTGAAACTAATAAAGTTTCTTTTTCTCATGCAATTCGCAAATTTATTTACTGCAAAATGGTCGAGCTGATATGTGATTAGTGTGGTTCCCCTAACCACAGATTTCCCAGATGTTTCTATACTAGTTTCATAATCTTAGTGGCGGTAGTCAGAATAATGGGGACTGGTATCCAAAGCAGCATAATGTTCGTAATGTGAATATGTGTAATGATGCATGCTGCGCCTGTTTTTGTCACGTGATGTATGGCCACAGAGAATTTGCTATGCAGATGTGTACGGTTCGTCAAGGAGAGTTAAATATTGTAGAAAGAACCTTATTTTCGCCTATAATACGGGTTAAACGCTACAAAATACAATGACTAACAGAAGTTCCGGGTGTCGGTCACTTGTCCCATTTCCACTTCGGGGTCATGCTATTTACCGTCAATAAGCATCAAGAAACGTCAAAAAAACCTCAACTAAATGTCCAAGCATTTTCATACAAATATTTTACAGTAAGGTTCCTACATATCATATTCAATGTATCATATTATTGAAAATGATATTTGAAGGTGGAAATTTGAGCGACAAATTTGGGCCGCTCATGCAGCCTGACCAGCCGCCATCTTGTTTTCACGTGGATGGTAAAGAAAGATGGTGGCCTCCATACACTGCATAAAAGCTTCATTTTTCTGCCTGAATCTGGAAGCAAATTTTACTGTTTCTTTGACACAGTGGCAGATCTTAGAATTTTTAAATTTAGATAAAACTACTTTTAAATCCTTAGAGGGTATTTTGAAGTTGTTGACGCTTTGTTTACACTAGTTGGATGTGCTGACACTTGTTGACGGTAAATAGCATTGACCGCCACTTCGCCCCATTTCCACTTCGCCCCATTATTTATTGTTCGTTCTGTTCTTCAGTGACAGAGGCATTGACCTACATGTAGATGCAACAAGTAAAATTATCGACATTTGAGTACCCAAATAATGATCGCATAATGCCTTTTTCGAAGGCCAAAACAATACTTCCGGATTTCCCGACCGCCAGACCCAAATTTTTTGGCGAGACCCTAAAATTTTTATTGGTAGTCAGAAAAAAAGTTTTTCTTAATGTTTCGTTACTGCTGTGGTAAAAACACAAGCGCAAAGCACTAGTTCCATCGCACCCGTGTAGGCATGATAAGAGAATACGTGATGGAGTGTGCCAAATGCAACCAGTCTATAAAAAAAATAAACATCGATGTTGCAAGATTTCTTCAGGTTAATTCTTAGTATTTTGTATTTGTGTGTATTTTCTGTGTTCATCAGTTTAATTTTAGGTTGCTTTGCTCGTACTTGAAGCGAGCATGTTTCCATGCATGCCCAGCTTTATTCGATCGCCCTGTACCGGTACAGCTGTCTGGATGCATTGGCAATTAGGCCTAGGGGCACCAGAACGATGTGAACAGAAATGTATGTGTCGCTTTAAAATAAACTTGAAGAGGATGAGAAATAACCACGATGCTAGTCCAACCATATGTATTAATTCACCATAATGGACAACGCAGTCGACATTAATTTAATGCTGTAGAGTTTTGGCCTGCATGAAGTTTGTGGAACTCCCCTCTCAGCTCTCGACCATTTTTGAAGAGCATAATAACACACTCGAGCATGGACGGCAAAGTGGGGATGGAGCG